AACCAGGCAAGGGCAGGTCCAAGAAGTTTACGTAAAGTGGAGAGGCAGTGTATGAGGATGGAGTGGTTGACAGAGTCGAAGGTGGCAGAGAGGTCGAGGAGGACAAGGAGGCAGAGGGAGCCCTGATCACAGATGTTCAGAATGTCATTAGTGACTTTGACCAGAGCTGTTTCCGTGCTGTGGGAGGGGTTCAAAGAGGGAATGGCGAGAGAGAAAGGAGCGGAGCTGGGATGCGAAGAATCGTTCCAGGACCCATCAGATAATAATAATATTCCTCGCATTTTATAGCACCGTATCATGTTGGAAGGACGTCTCAAAGTGCTTCACAGAATTTACTGTGAAATAAAATTACTATATTTGTAGGTAGTACATGTAGATTGTACTAGTTGAAGAAAAGGGAGTTTCTCCCAGTGTTCTGGTCATTCACTTCATGACTGTTTATGACAATGTAATCTTCCAAAACTGTACTGGATTGTCAGTCTGTAACTATCTAGTCAAAACCTGGAAGCGAGGCGTAAACCCTAAATTTTCTGACCCAGAGGAAAGACACTATGCATTTCCTTTACAGCCTTATTCAGCATCCTAGATCATAGACCATATGACCTCAGAGATTTGATAATTTGATAATTCTAGGTATCCACCTAGTTTAACAAGCTCCAGTATTACACCAACATCAATATTCTCCTGGGATATTGAGCGTTTAAGAAATGAATGCCTTCAAAATATTCCTAGAATTAAATATTCATATTTCAACACATCAACAATTTATCTTCTTGAACTTCACTGCTATTTATCTTTGAATACCAACTTCCTCTCTACTCTTATGCTTAGTAACTTTGGCCATTTCTGCAGTATGGATAATCCTGGAGGCGAAGAACAACCCCAGGCTACTGTTTTCCACCACATCCCGACTCCTCCGTCCCCCCCGCCACCCCGCGCAGGTCATCTCCTCCAACCTTCACTGCGAGGAGATGCTGGATTTCCTTGAATCCAAGATCAAGGGAATCCGCTCCGCGGTCACTTCCCCTCCAACTTCCACCCACCACCCACCCCTTCCCTCCCACACTCCGACTCCTACCCATCCTCCCCTACACACCTTCGTACCCGTTTCCCCACCCTCTGTCACTGAACTCATCCTATCCCTAAAACCAACCACCTGCTCCCTTGACCCCATCCCCACTCCACTCCTTATCTCCCAGCTCCATTTTCTTGCCCCACACATCACTGACATCATAAACCTGTCCCTCTCCTCTGGCTCTGTCCCCATTCCATTAAAAACTGCCATCATCACGCCCACCCTGAAAAAACCCTCCCTTGATGCGTCGCAGCTATCAAGCTACCGGCCCATCTCCAACCTCCCCTTTCTCTCCAAGGTCTTGGAAAGAGTTGTCGCCTCCCAACTGCGCTCTTTCCTCTCCACCCATTCTCTTTTTGAACCCCTTCAGTCAGGTTTCCGTGCTGCCCATAGCACAGAAACTGCCCTGGTCAAGGTCACCAATGATATCCTGACCATCTGTGACCAGGGCTCCCTCTGTCTCCTCGTCCTCCTCGACCTATCGGCAGCATTCGATACGGTCGACCACGCTATCCTACTCCACCGCTTGTCCTCCCACCTCAACCTTCAAGGCACTGTCCTTGAATGGTTTAGCTCTTACCTTTCCCACCGTCTTCACTTCGTCTCAACGAATGGCTTCTCCTCCACCCCCCGTACTGTCTCATGTGGTGTCCCTCAGGGCTCTGTCCTCGGTCCCCTCCTCTTCACCCTCTATATGCTCCCCCTTGGTGACATCATCCGCAAACATGGGGTTAACTTCCACATGTATGCGGATGACACCCAACTCTACCTTTCCTCCTCTACTCTCAACTCCACGACCACCGATGTCCTGACAGCCTGCCTGTCCGACATCGAGTCCTGGACGAGAGACAACTTTCTTCAGCTCAACGTGCGAAAAACCGAGGCCCTCCTGATTGGCTCACGTCAGCGCCTCCGCACCTCAGGCGCTGACACCATCAGCATCCAAGGCTGCACTCTCCACCTCTCAAAGCCAGTCAGGAACCTCGGCGTTTTGTTCGACCCTGAGCTGTCCTTTCTCCCTCACATCCGCACCACAACTGGCACCGCCTTCCATCACCTCCGGAATATCGCCAGATTACGGCACTACCTCACCCCTCACGCTGCTGAAACCCTGGTTCACGCCTTTGTCACCTCAAGGCTGGACTATGGGAACTCTCTCCTCGCCGGCCTTCCCGCCACCTCCCTCCACAAGCTGCAGGTCATTCAGAACTCTGCAGCTCGTGTACTGTCCCGCACCAGGCTTCGGGACCACATCACTCCCACCCTCGCTCGCCTCCACTGGCTCCCCATCCCCCAGAGGATTGATTTCAAGATCCTCATCCTCACCTACAAGGCCATTCACGGCCTTGCTCCCTCCTACCTCTCCAACCTACTATCCCCCTACCTACCTGCCCGTACCCTCCGTTCCTCTGGCTCCGGTCTGCTCCACGTCCCCCGCCCCAACCGCCCTACTATCGGTGGTCGGGCCTTCAGCCTCTCAGCCCCAGGCTCTGGAACTCCATCCCCCAGTGCCTTCGCCTTGCTTCCTCCCTTTCCTCCTTCAAGGCCGGTCTCAAAACCTTTCTCTTTGACCGTGCCTTCAGCTCCCCTCTCGACTCTCTTCCTCCTCCTCGCTCCCTCCCTTCCCTCCCCTCACCCTGACCATTTCCCCCCTCCTCTCTCCCTCCCTTCCCTCCCCTCACCCTGACCATTTCCCCCCTGCTCGGGTCATGACCCAACTGTGCAGCGCCTTGGGACGTCCTCCTGACGTGAAAGGCGCTCTATAAATGGAATCTTGTTGTTGTTGTTGTACGCTTCTCAGCACACTTCTGATACCCCTTTTAACAAATCCGTATATATCTCCAATGTTGTGCCCTCTTTTTCTTCCTGTAACAAATGGCATAATCGTTTTCCTTAATTATTTTCATGTAAACTGATCTATTTATGTATTTTAGTAAATGTTTATTAAGCTTATTTATGACCAGGATACTGGGAGAAATTCTTAAGGCTTTGGTGCACTGCATCCAGAACTGGCAATGGACCAGGGGGCTGGTTTTGAGCCACGTATAATCAGCAGCACAGGCCTGAGATTTTAGCAAGAGGAGGTGGTTGTCATACCTGGAAGACTAGCTGCACATCATCCCCACAAGATGGCACGATGAGGCAAGATTGTCAGAGTGCCAGAGGTGTAGAAGTTTTGGTGACAAAGGACAGTTGTAAGGGAGTGGGGCGTGATGGTTGTTCAACGGCAGAAAGCCAGCGTGACGGCCAGGCTCATTTGGTAGCACTCTTGCCTCTGAGTCTAGATTGTGAATTTGAGCGCTGTAATTGGTGAATTCATAATCCAGGCTGTTTTTATGATAGTGTTGGGGTGGGGGGTGGGGAGAGTACTGCCTTGCTGGAGGTGCCATCCTTCGAGTGACATGCTAAACAAGATGCCTGCCGATTCAAGTGGACATTAAACGATCCCATGGCACTATTCAAAAAGAGAAGGGAATTTCTCCCAATGTCCTGACTGTGGCAGTGGTGACGTCATGGGCAGGGAACTTGCAAACTCAATTGAATACTCATTTGAATGGAGAATACTCATTTCAATGTCTGTTGGAACGTTGCCTTTGTGTTTGCATGGTATTGTTTTGGTCATTTACACCCCACAGGTAACAACAACTTACATTCATATATCATCCCTCACTCAGGGCAGCATCCAGAGTGCAGGAACTGTCACGATGTCTCAGTTAAAGGATGTAGTTGTTTGAAGGGGACCTAATTTACATGAAAACTCATTGTCTGTAAGAATGTGTATTTTGTGTGTGTGAGAGTACACACACAAGGGGACAAAACACTAGGTGTTTGAGCAGGCAAGAGGGTTGCACCTTGGAAGTACTATTAACAAGAAGTAGGTCAGCTTGCTGCTCTGCTTTAAGCGTATGTGCCAGCATTTTATGTATTACGACTCTGACTTAATTTTAGGCTTTGGGATGTTGTTAAAATATATGCTTGTGTTAAGTAAATAGTTTAAATTTATTTTGAGAAATGCATATTTTAGATTTGTTAATATAAATGGGATATTGGTTTTGTCCTCCCGACTTGAAAAGCCCTGACTAACCACTGAAACATTAGGTATAAAATATCAAGTTCCATGACATGATCAACAATCTCTCAAAATTAAATGAAAAGTTGGTCATTCACTTCACGGCTGCTTGTGGGACATTGCTGTGCTCAAATTGACTGCCACATTCATCGCACTACACTTCGCAATTAATCTTGCTAAACACTTTGAGGCATCCTCTGACATAAAGGCATTATGCAAGCATCATCGTGGTGATCCAGTCAGTATATTAGTACTGACTTCTTTGTCCCTCGCACCCTTCACTCTACCACTGGAGGTTGCGCTTTCAGCCACTACGCCCCAAAACTCTGGAACACTCTCGCTCAATCTCTCCATCTTGCCTCCTCTCCCCTTTTTCAAGTCCTGCCTGAAAATCTTCCTCTTCAGCTGTGCTTGCGGTCAACTCCCCCACGTTCAGCTTGGCATCAGGCTCCGCCACTGTTAAGCGCTCTAAGACGCTACCCTGTGTGGAGGGTGCTATATAGGTGCAGGTTGTTGTTGCTGTAGTGACCTAATAGCTAAAAGAAGCAGTCAAGTCTTGATAAAACATTGGCTCAAGTAGATGTTAATAAAGGTTATTTTCTGCCTCTTCTCTTCATTTCAGTGACACCGAATTATGAAAAACCAACAGTGTCACACCAGGTAAAAACACTTTCCAGGAATAAAAATCAATATATTCTTAAATGGTGCCGTTTGGTGTATTTCAGGATAAAGGTCGTTTCTGAAGGTCACATTTCAGGGCAAACTTAAAAACAGAAAATGATTTCCTCAAAAATCCAAAATCATTCAGCAATCTGTAAACAAATCCTCAATAATGCTTATTATGTTTAATCTCACCTGATCCAGACAGTTGACACGGACATTTGTGCTACCCAACAACCTTCCAGCTTCCTGAACATTCCCTACGAAGAATAAAACAAAAATATTTAAAACAAAATACTTAGAACTTAAAACATTTTTGTGAAAAATCAATGCACAGGTTTATTACATGGATAGCATGAAATATGTGCATATGGATTAGGCTTGCAAAACCTACAGTTTGTGCAATTTGACAAGAATCTTGATTTTAGAGAGCAGACACAGGCTCGACGTTCTGAATGACCCCATCTTTCTGGTCTAAATGTCTATGTTTCTTGGGGTCCCCAATAACAACTGGTATTTATATAGCGCTCATCACACAGGGTAACAATCCCAAGTCTTGGCTCTTGCTAATCTGTGCCAATACTTTCCGGAATTAGTTAAGCAGGATGCTTCCCTCCAGAGAAAGAATGTGCATTCCATTCCAATAAATATTTTGGGGAATTTCCATGTATAGGTGGGAATCGTGGAGCTCTGTTTGGTTTGGATTTTCCCCAAGTCCTGCTGATAAGCTACAACAATTTACATTTATATACTCCCTTCATTGGTAGCGTCCCGGAGCTCTTTACAGCGGTGGACTGGAAGGTGACTGTAAGCACAATCAAAAAGGAAAGTCTTGAGGTGGGATTTGAAGGTGGGGAGGGAGGGAGAAAGGCAGAGGGATTGAGTGAGTTCCGTAGTTTCGGGGGCATAGTGGCTGAAGGCACGACCACAGATGGTGGAACGGAGGGTACGAGGGACAAACAAGATGCTGGAGCCAGCCGAGCGGCAGCCACGGGTGGTGGATTGGGGAGTAAGTTGGTCGGATATGTAGCGGTCTGAGGGCATGAAGGGATTTGAAAGCTAGTGAGAGGATCTTGAAATCAGTCCGTTCAATGATTGGGAACCAGTAGAGTCTGGCAAGGACTGGTGTGATGGGGGTACAGAGTTTTGTGCGGGTGGGTATCCGGGTGGCAGAGTTTTGAATTCATTGGATTTTGTGCATGGTGGAGCTGGGGAGACTAGCGAGGAGGGCATTGAAATAGTCTAGCCAGGAAGTGACAAAGGTGTGGACGAGAGTTTCAGCTGCATCAGTTGTGTGTGTGGTATGGATGGAGGTGGGCAATGCGGTGGAGGTGGAAAAAGCGGTCCTGGTCAGGGAACAGATGTGTGATAGAAACGAGAGCTGATCATTTTTACGGGTCTTGGTGCCTACCTTTTGTTGGTGTACACAGAGGTAGCAGCTGCTGCTGTAAAACTCTACCTGGTGGAACAATCATGCATTGCAGAGGGACGTGTGTCCAAACTATGAACAGGAGGATGGTGGCAGTGCTCTAATGTGTTTTATGCCAAGTTGCTGCTTATTGTGTGACTTGCAAAGAATTCCAAGAACCTGCAATAGCTCTGACGATGGTTCAAGCCTGCACTTCCTCTGTGGTAGTTTCAGCGATGTGCATGAGCCAGGCAGGTCAACAGTATTCAAAGTATTCAACAGTATTCAAAGACACTGACAGCATCACCATCCATGGTTGCACACTCCACCTCACTGAACTAGTCCGGAACCTTGGCGTCTTGTTTGACCCTCAACTGTCCTTTCTACCCCACATCTGTACCATGACCCGCTCTGCCTTCCCCCACCTGCGCAGCATTGCCCGGCTCCACCACTGCCTCAGGCCGCCGAAACCCTCATCCACACTCGAATACGCCAACTCCCTGCTTGTCGGCCTTCCAAACTCTTCCCTCCACAAACTGCAGATCATCCAGAATTCTGCAACTCGTGTCCTCTCCCACACCAGGCTCCGTGACCCTATCACCCCTATCTGGCTCCAGTGACTCCCCATCCCCCAGAGGAAAGAGTTCCAAATCTTCTTCCTAACCTTCAAAGCCCTTCACGGCCTGTGACCTGAACAGAGGTTGGTAGGGAGTCAGCAGGCCAGAGAGGTAGGAGGGGGCAAGGCCATGGATGGCCTTGAAAGTGAGGATGAGGATTTTTAATTTGATCCTCTGAGGGATGGGGAGCCAGTGGAGTCGGGCGAGGGTGGGAGTGATGGGGGTCACGGAGCCTGGTGCGTGAGAGTACATGAGCTGCAGGGTTTTGGATGATCTGCAGCTTGTGAAAACCCAAGCCCCAAAAGGTAAGTGGCCCTAACTGGATAAGCAACAGGAAGTTGCCAAATCCATTTTCAATTATTCCAGTTCTGATGAAGCATCACCCAATTCATTAACTCATCTGAGGTTTTCAGATGCTTATCAACCTGCTTTACGTTGCAAATACTGACTGTTTCATATAAAATTTCCAACATTCACCATTTCTTTCTAGCTCTAACAATTTGCACTTACATAACACCTTAATTGTCTTAAAGTGCTTTACAAAGATGAGTGGGAGCAGAGCAGGGAGGTAGATAGTTGAGATTGGCAGGAAGGTTGGGATGTGCTAAACCGTTCCCCCATTGGTGACCGAGCTTTCAGCCACTTCCAACTCAACGTTGAAAAGACAGAAGCCATACTCATTGGCTCTCGTCAAAGTCTTCTATCCTGTGGCACTAATCTCAACTTCCCCGACCCATCCCTCAGACTCACCAAACTAGTGCGCAACCTAGGGGTCAGGTTCGACCCATAGGTGTCCTTCCTTCCCCACATCCTGTCCCTGACCAGGAGCGCCTTCCTCCGCCTCTGCCACAATGCACTCCTCCGACTGCACCTTACCCCATACACAGCCAAAACACTCACCTCCCGACTCAACTTTTCAAATGCCCTCTACGCCAGTCTCTCCAGCTCCACCATACCCAGGATCCAGCTGATCCAAAACTCCGCCGCCCACATACTCACCCATACTGAACTCCACACCCCCATCACACCAGTTCTAGCCAGGCTTCACTGGCTCCCTATCGCCGAACAGATTGATTTCAAGATCCTCACTCTCGTTTTCAAATCCCTTCAGGCCCTGGCACCTCCCTACCTCTCCAACCCTGTGCCCTCCGTTCCCCCATTGGTGACCGCGCTTTCAGCCACTATATCCCAAAACTCTGACACTCTTCCTCTATATCTCCACCTTGCCCCTTCCTTCAAAGGTTCCTATTCGACCGTGCCTACAGTCACTCCCCCCTCCTCCCTGGCTTGGAGTCCTGCTCCACCACTATCAAGCGCTCTGAGGCGCTGCCCTGTGTGTGGGGCGCTATATAAATACAAATTGTTGTCTGAAGGTGCAGTCAAAAGTAAAATCTTTAGAAGGCATGGAGGGAGGAGCAAGGAAGAAGGATTTCAGAAGAGAATTACAGGTAGTGGGGGCAAACTGCCTAAAGGCTCATCTGCCAATAATGGGGTAGACTGGGGAATAAAGCAGGCTGCAATTGACAGAACAGAGGAACTGGCCAGGGGAATAGGGTGAAAGGAAATCTCAGAGATAAACTGAAGTAAGGCAATGGAGGTATTTGTAGGTAAGAATTGTAAAGTTGATCCAATGAGGGATAGAGAGCCAGGCAAGGAAGTAGGCTCCCAGGGCCTAATCCAGGAGAGGAACTAGGTTAGAGTTCTGCATTGTCTAGATCTTGTGAAGGGTGAGGCTGGAGTGACTGGCAAAGCAGGATGTTGGAAAAGTAGTCTGGAAGTGACACAGAAGGCATAGAGATGGGGCTTTAGCTACATGATGGGCTGAGGTAGTGACAGAAGTAGGCAATGTTGCAAAGACAACAACAAATTGCATTAAAATAGCACCTTTCATAGCATGGAAGTAAGTGGACTTGATCAGAATTTGGATAAAAATTCTGAAGGGGCATAAGAAATGTTAAACGAAACAAGACCAAGGTCCAACTAGTTCGTGTTCCACCTTCCCAACAGTCACATGCACAAATGTCCCAAATTATCTCTGTATTATATTCCATAATGTTATTTCTTAAAAGAAAACTATCTAATCTGTGTTTGAAGGAATCAACATTTCCTGCTTCAACCTCTCCCCAGGGAGCTTGTTCCATAGGTTCACTATTCAAACACTGAAATAGTGTTTGCGTAGATTTGCTCTGAATTTACCCATTTCAGTCTCAGGCCGTGAACAACAACAAGATTACATTTGTATAGCGCCTTTCACGTTGGGAGGACGTCCCAAGGCGCTGGACAGAGTACAGCATTTCAGACCTGAGCTGGGGTTGGGTGGGGAGAAGGGAGGGGAAGAGGGGGTGGCCGATGGCATGGTCGAAGAGGAGGGTCTTGAGGCCGGACTTGAAGGAGGCTAAAGAGGGGGCGAGGCGGTGACTGGGGATGGAATTCCAGAGGTTGGGAGCAGAGTGGCTGAAGGCTCTCCCGCCAATGGTGGGGCAGGTGGGTCGGGGTACGTGGAGCAGGCCAGAGCCAGCTGAGCGGAGGGAACGGGCAGGTTGGTAGGGGGTTAGGAGGTCGCAGAGGTAGGGTGGGGCGAGGCCATGGAGGGCTTTGTATGTGAGGACCAGGATCTTGAACTGGATCCTCTGAAGGATCGGGAGCCAATGGAGTTGGGCGAGAGTAGTCATGGAGTTTGGTGTGGGAGAGGACACGGGCTGCAGAGTTCTGGATTACCTGCAGCCTGTGGAAGGAGGAGTTGGTAAGGCCGACAAGCAGGGCATTTGCATAGTCGAGCCTGGAGGTGATGAAGGCATGAACAAGAGTTTCAGCGGCCTGAGGGTGAGGTAGTGGTGGAGTTGGGCGACGTTATGGAGTTGAGCGAATTTGAGGTTCTGCGCAAGCTCAGGTCGATACGGTCAGTGCCTGAGTTAAGGAGGTACTTTAGGAAGCAGAGTAAGATAGTCGAGGTTTTATTAATGTTGAGTTGGAGAAAGTTGAGGATCATCCAGGACTTGATGTCTTACAGGCAGTCTGTGAGAACAGGACTGATCCTGGAATTGAGGTCTTTCTCCCATTTATCTTCTTTAGTTATAGAATTGGATAATTACAGTGATATCACACCAGTTCTCTCCTCCCTCCCCCAAATTAGTCAAACGACATTGTAGCTCACCAATAAAGTCAGCATTACCAAATAGTCAGCCATTTTTGACAGTAAGCATGTAAACAAAGACAAGGTTATTCAATGACAAAGAAAACTATATTTTTCTCAAAACATAATGCGTACAGGTAGGCCACATTTTCACTTGCGTGCCTGAAATAGTTCCAAAGACACACATGTTTTAGTGTGAAAACGGCACCTCCCATTTGCACGTGGAAACACTGATAACAAGCACGTGGATGTTGAGCACATGCACACACATTGGCATTCAGTGCTGTGCTAGGATGTCTTCCCAATATGAAAGATGCTAAACAAATGTAATTTTGTTGTTGTGCCAACAAAATCTGAAGGCATCAGCCGACATGTTATAACAGTGATAACTTATAACTGTAACAGTGACATTACAGCATTTGCGTACAAAACTGCACAACTGTTGAGTTTACATCACATTCAGGATACTACGGTATATACACTGCACAGCAACTTCGCAAAATAAAGGAGGCACATGACCCATTTCTCCCACAAAAAGTAGACAATAAATTCGCTTCACAGCAGATCGTGTCAAGCGCTTTGAGGCATCTCAAAGGCGCGATATCGAACGCAAGGATCGTGACTGCTCCCCGTGTCTCGAGAAGCAGCATTTCTTCTCTTTCCTTTTCCAAACAAAAAAGGGGGGAAACATCTGTTATCGAAACGAGTCATGAGTTGTGCTGTGCGGCAGTGACGAGAAGCAGTGGCCAGTGAACCTTTCCTGTGGGCCTCTCCCTCCCTCCCTCTCACTCTCACTCTCTCACTCTCTTCCTTCCTTCAGCAGTGAATCCTTACAACCCAACTGGTTGATTGGCCTAAACATCGCCTGTTTTTTTATGAGACAGACAGACAGACAACTCCTCCTCCAACAGCCACTGAGGATCAAACACCAGCCTCTTTTTTTGGAGTGTGTTGGGGGGTTATTCCTCAACCCTCCCCCTCCCCCCCCCCACACACACCCCTTCTCTCTCCCGTTTTCCCTTTCCACGTTACCTTCAGAGATGACTTGCAATAATTCCTTCTCCTCGGCCGTCAGGTCGCCTTTCTTAGGCGGAGCCATGTGCGTCCGAATACCCCCCCCTCCCCCCTCCCCCTCCCCCCCCTCCGACGACGACGACGACGGTCACGACACAAAAGTGAAGGAACGCAAAATTATTTCACCCCCAAAGGTTGGGTTAAGTTTTCTTTGAAAATAAAAAAAATAATAACCATTGGGGGCCCTCTCACACACACAACACGCACAGCACAGAGGGACAGACAGACAGACAGAGGGACACACAGCACAGAGGGACAGACAGACAGACAGAGGGACACACAGCACAGAGGGAGAGACAGAGGGAGTGAGTGAGTGAGTGACAGCGGATGGCGGGGCCCACGCGCTGTGAGTGAGAGGCTCCGCGCACCGCTCCGGCACCGTCCATCTCGCGGCACACGCGCGGGGGGAGGAGGTCAACCTACACTATCTTTTTTTTTCCAATCAAAACCCCCCCCCCACTTTTCCGCTATCCTTCACGGCTTCTGTCAATCGCATATGTGTGTGTGTGGACTAAAGCCGAAGCGGGAACCCCGATGGGGAGGAAAAGTGTCAACTTCGGGCTTTGCAGTCCGGTAGTTTCCCCCTCTCCCCCTCTCCCTCTCGGGGCGATGGTGCGGTCGGCGGCTCCCGGGCGGCGCGGCGCGCATGCGCGGGGCGGCGGGTTTCATTGTTCGTGGAGTTCTCTTTGCAACGTTAACCCGAACGGTCCAGAACGCGGAGTCGCCAAAGGAACAATAGGCGTAGGTTCCAATCGTTTGTCCCATTGTTACGGGCGGCGGCGGCGCTGCTACTGTTGTTGTTGGCGGCGGCGGTTCCCGGTTCCCAGAGACAGCGCCGAGAGCTCTGTGTGTGTGTGTGTGTGAGAGGGAGAGAGAGAGAGAGCACCGCACACAATGTGACTCCTCTCGGTCCCAACTGTCCTTGGCAGAGCGGGGGGTTGTGGGGAGGAGAGAGAGAGAGAGTGTGTGTGAGTGAGTGAGTGAGAGCGCTCTCCTACTCCCACTCCGTGTAGTGCGGGTTTCTGTAGTGAAGAGATTGTCGGTGGCGGTGTGTGTGTGAGTGTGTGTGTGGTGGTGGTGGTGGGGGGTGAGAGAGACAGGAGAGGCTTTGGGCGTGTAACAGGCAGTGCTGTAGCTGCGTGTTGGGCTGTGCTGTGTTGGGCTGTGCTGTGTTGGGCTGAGCTGTGTTGGGCTGAGCTGTGTTGGGCTGAGCTGTGTTGGGCTGTGCTGTGTTGGGCTGTGCTGTGTTGGGCTGAGCTGTGTTGGGCTGTGCTGTGTTGGGCTGAGCTGTGTTGGGCTGAGCTGTGCTGTGCTGTGTTGGGCTGTGCTGTGTTGGGCTGTGCTGTGTTGGGCTGAGCTGTGCTGTGTTGGGCTGTGCTGTGTTGGGCTGTGTTGGGCTGAGCTGTGTTGGGCTGAGCTGTGTTGGGCTGTGCTGTGTTGGGCTGAGCTGTGTTGGGCTGTGCTGTGTTGGGCTGTGCTGTGTTGGGCTGTGCTGTGTTGGGCTGAGCTGTGTTGGGCTGAGCTGTGTTGGGCTGTGCTGTGTTGGGCTGTGCTGTGTTGGGCTGAGCTGTGTTGGGCTGAGCTGTGTTGGGCTGAGCTGTGTTGGGCTGAGCTGTGTTGGGCTGAGCTGTGTTGGGCTGAGCTGTGTTGGGCTGAGCTGTGTTGGGCTGAGCTGTGTTGGGCTGAGCTGTGTTGGGCTGAGCTGTGTTGGGCTGAGCTGTGTTGGGCTGTGCTGTGTTGGGCTGTGCTGTGTTGGGCTGAGCTGTGCTGTGTTGGGCTGAGCTGTGCTGTGTCGGGTCGGTCGTGTATATACCTTCGGGGGGTTGTGCTGTGTAATGTTCGCGCTGTTGCTGTGCCTGAGATGGCAGCGCTGAGCGGGTCGGGGCGGGTCGGGTCCCGGGCGGAGCGCGCGGTGCAGTCGGTGAACAGGTCCCACAGAGACCGCGCACCGGGTCCCCTTTTCCGGTTCCTTTCCTTCATTTTAGAAACGTGGTTTCCAGACGGCCTAAAGTTGGGGGAGAGGGGGAGGGGGAGAGGGGGAGGGGACGGGCTCTGGTGTGTGCAGTCATGTGGGGGTCGGATTACACGCGTTCACACCGTGTGGCGATGCGCTCTCGGGGTGTGTGTGTGTGTGTGTGCGATACACCACACAGGGAAAAAAATAAATGGCCATCGATGAGTTGTGTGGCGGTGAAAGGCAATGGGAGGGAGGGAGGGAGGGAGAGGGAGGGAGAGAGAGGGAGGGAGGGAGAGGGAGGGAGGGAGGGAGAGAGAGAGGGAGGGAGGGAGGGAGGGAGGGAGTGAGGGCCAAAAGTCTAGTGGCAATCGGCACAAACTGCAGCTCTCGATTGGGGGGGAACAAAAAAAGAGCATTGTTTCAAATAAGATGCAACGATTTTATAGTGTGTGTGTAAAAAAAAATATGCATTTATTATGTTATATGTATATATATATATATATATCTAAAAGCCCCCAACGCTCCTGGTGACTGTGTGTGGGGGCAGTGCTGTCCACGTTAACCCAACGCGGATCGTGTTGTCCCCTCTCCCCCCCACCCCCCGGGGGGAGGGTCCTGGTCTCTGGTCTCCACTGCAGTTCGTCTTTGGGATGTGGAACATTTCTTCCCCCTTTTCCTTCCCCCCCACCCATCGGGCACTGTGTGTTCTGACCCCTTCACGTGCTTCGGCCTCCACTCGGGATCCTCCCGGGAATGATTCCCCCCCACAACCAAATCACGTCACCAGTGTGTTATAATCTTCCCATTGGCTCGGTTTCGGGATTTTATTTAGATTTTTTTTTCTCTCTCTCTCTCTCCCCCCAAAAAAAAGGGCGATTGGGAAAAAAAGCGCCGATTTTTTTTTGGGGGGACAAACAAAAAAATCTGCAGTTTTCTTGTTGAGAAGCCGATCCAAGTGAATGTCGGGACAAAGCGCGTCGCGGGCACGGCATCTGTGGGTGGCATTTGGGGTAAAACTCCGCATTTCCCGGACCGGTGGGTGGGGGGTTTGTGGAGTTTATGTAATCTCACGGCCACGTTTTCGTTTGCAAAGAGAGAGGATCAGAGGGGGCGCAGACGTAAGGACTTGCATCATCCAGTGTGAGGGAGAGTATATGTGGTCAGCAATCCTCCCTCCATCCCTCCCTCCCTCCTGTCTGGAACACACTCACCCTCCAGTGTTTCAGAGTGAGGGGGCGGCGATCCTGCAACTCCTGGACTATTGGCACTGTGACTCTGGGTGTATGTGTTGTCACTCCCACGGTGGGAAAAGGGTGAGCACCACACCACGGTGGTGCGGCGCGGGCTGGTGCCCCCCGGCTCCTTTCCGCTTGTACTTGGGTTTAAGTGTGGTGCGGTTCAGCAAGACGTTGAATTCATCGCTTGGGAGCTTTCGCCGTAAAGCAGGATCGTCTACCTACCGCGCCTGAAGCGAGTTAGCGATTTGTGCCCATGTGCGTGATACTACGCTCTCTTACCCCCCCACCCCCCCCACCCCCCGTTTAATAATAATCCTTGCATTTGATATAGCGCTTCTCACGTCTTCGAGACGTCTCACTTACTTGCCGTCCGTGTTTCAATTGACTTTTCGTACTGCGCTCGGCTGATTTAAACAGTATCAGGTTTGTAAAGATTGGAGCTGATCAAATCCTATTGCATGAAATTGTGAAAAGTAATTTAAATTAAAATTCTAAACGAGACTGGAATAAATAATGAAGACAGAAACGGGTTATAATTTGGACAAACTCGCCAGAACCATTTGGATTTATGTGTGAATATATTTTTAAATTATTGGTCAACAACGATGAGCATTTATATAGTGTCTTTCATTCGAATAGCATCGTGGAGCACTTAGAGATTAAAAGATTCTTGAGCTCATGTGGTGTGAGCTGGTTAGCTTTTGAATTATTAGTATTTTTATACAGAAATGTATTGCTAACATGCAGGAATTTATTGCTGGTGCCATCTCTGACTACTTCAATTGATTTATAGTGCTTTACCAGTTTACAAAGTTATTTTTGTTGAGTCCGCCTTGATTCTCCTGTGGGGAGGGGGGAGAGGTCTGCTTTCCCCTGGGGGGTGGGGAGTTTGGCCCTTTCCATCACAATCTGAACCAACCTGTCCAACTTAACATTCCCTGGTTTGGGAGGGGGAGTTCTTTGTGTTTCCTCACTTGTTTTGAGGTTTGGTGGGATGTCGACACACACACAGAAACTCGTCACTATTCTTTTCTCACTTGGCGCAGCTCAGAATAGGAGATCAGACTACACCCACCCATCTGTGACACAGTATTTAGTGATGTTCAATCACTGCTCGCCTCTTAGCTTAATGTTTACTTGGATATGTGTTTCATTTTGAGATTCAAATTATACACCACGTCAAGAAATAAGAACAAATAACCAACAAAGGAACTAAAAATGTCTTAAATATATATTGTTTCATTGTGTTAATTTAAATTGGTCTTAATCCAAATTTACCCTCAAGTTCAAATGAATTGGCTGCTCATCTTGTTGTTTATTGGACGTTGATTGCACAGATTAGCTGCTATGATTGCCTATGTTAACAAGAATCACTTAACATCTAACCAAATATATTTTGTTTAAGGCTGCATAAAAATCTGAAGTTTTTTTTGGCTTGTTGAGGGGAAAGCCCAATTTTTATTACTCTTATTTTAGCTAAAGTGTGTTAAATGCTAGTGCTGAGCATGTTGACTACTGATATTTCAATTTTCCTCAAATTTAGTTGTATATTTATCAATGGAGGCAGGCGTTTAAGTGGCTACCAGATTATTTTATTGTTTCTGTCTGTTGCTGTGCATTTAATAGCTCCATTTGTACCATGTCAACACCCATTTAGTGGTAAAGCCTTTGCTGAAATAAATAATAGGAGCAGAGTATTTGATTCAGATTGTTTCACGTGGTATGCAGTTAATTAAATCATTATCTGTAGTTGTCCATTTTCTGGAATAGGCTTTTCATATGGCCTTGTGCCTGTGTGACAAACTGCTGCAATGCCTATGAGTATATGGGAGGACCCCAAAATGGTAAGAATGACAATTATTTTAAAGTAAGTGCTAATTAACCAAATTCCTTTCTCTTTACTCCAAATATTTTGTAGCATGTCAGTTCTAGTAATCTTCTCTTAAACTGTGTAAACAGAATATAGGTTAAAACTAATGGCATAGTCATCTTAGTTAATATGAATTATAGTAATCCTTGCATTTGATATAGCACCTTATGTCTTCGAGGCGTCTCAAAGCTCTTCACAGAATATACTGTGAAGTGAATTGACTGTATATTCATAGTCTCTAAACACATTTAGCATTTGGTCTTCCTCCAAGTGGCTGTCTGCCCATCTCAGCCAAGTGGTGATGTGCTACACCAAACATTTGACGGGCATGGAGGGAAATCGGCATGTTCGTGTGTGCCACAGAGCAGCATTGGTCACTTGCTTGTGCGGATAGCAACAACTGAAATTTATATAGCGCCACTAAGTATCAGATAAAATAAATTGAATATATACATTGCTCAGGCGTCTCCTAATCATTGATTCTTATTTTACCTAGTTTTCTCTCTCTTTGGTTTCTCAATTGTCTTAATGTAACAGCCCATTTTTAGCATGTGTTAAAGCTGTAAGTGGTCATTGCGGTTTTGGTTTGAGCATGCACGAGTCATAAGATCACAAATTAGTACAGATGAAGAAGGCCCTTTAGCTCATTTGATCTGATTATTCTGCCCATTACAGC